CTTCCGAGAACGGTGAGATCCCAATGTGGGACAGAAGCTCCGGAGCCTGGGGACCAGTGAAATGCAGGGTGAGAAAGTCGTGGGGAACGCGGTGACGGGACGGAAACTGCATCAGGACCAGAAAGCACTGTCACGTCCCTGGGGGATGAGAGCAGGAGCCGTGGCCCTCTCAGAGCTGTGGCCTTCCGCAGAGCTGTGGTCCTCCACGGAGCTGTGGCCCTCCGTGGAGCCGTGGCCCTCTCAGAGCTGTGGCCTTCCGCAGAGCTGTGGTCCTCCACGGAGCTGTGGCCCTCCGTGGAGCCGTGGCCCTCTCAGAGCTGTGGCCCTCTGCGGAGCTGTGGCCCACTGAGCCATGGCCCTCCACGGAGCCGTGGCCCTCCGCGGAGCCGTGGCACAGCAGCGCAGAGTGCTCCTCGCCGGTGCTGCTTTCTGTCTCTCCTGACACCATTGCTGTCCTCCTTCCAGAGCACCAGAACTACTTTGGGATAGATGAGAACCTCGGCCCGGTGGCAGTCAGCATCCGGAGAGAGAAGGTGGAAGACGCCAAGGAGAAGGAAGGGTCCCAGTTCAACTACCGCGTGGCCTTCAGGACGAGTGAGGTGAGAGGCCACTTCGTGTCGCTGCCGTCCCGGCTCCTTCGCTGTGCCTGCGTGCGCTTGTGTGGAGCGGGCTTGGAATTTACTTTTCAATGTCAGTGGTCATAATGCTTAAGGCAATTGAGAAAGGGCTTGCAGCATTTTATTCCCTCCCAAATTGGAAACCTGTCGTGGGTTTTAAATGGTGGCGATCTCACTGCCAGCTTTTACAATAGGTAGGTACCATGGGAGGTTTGGCGGTGAGGTTGGCGAGGACAGGCTCAAACGGCCCATTCACATGAGGGTGGACACACAGCTTTGACATCTGCTGCAGAAAGGCAGGGAGCCTGCAGTGCAGTGAATGTTGGCTTAGTGTTTTTCCAGAAGAAGGTACTCAAAACGTTTATGGAAAATACAGATTATGAAAAAACTATGCATAGATTTTTTTGCACCAAAATATACTGATACTCCAATCCCATCTTTCCAAGACCGTCTGGCGACTCCTGAGCTGGTTCTGCCCACACCTCCTCCTATCAGGGACTCAGGGCAGGGCTGTTCCTGCATTGCTCTGGAGATTGAGGTTGTTGCAGACATGACAGTGTGTGTGGCTCCCTAGGTGGACATGCTGGCTCGTGGACAGAACTAGAGCAGACCTGAGCTTCAGGGGTTCCCCTAAGTCAGCCCATTTCACTTAGAGGACACGTTTGGTGGACAGTTCAGGGTGTGTGCTTAGGTGGGCGACTCCTGGTCAGACAGAGGGAAGAGGGCCCTTTCCTGGCCCCCGCGTGCTGCGTTAGCATGTGGGCTGTGTGTCATACCAGCACGCAGCTGTGCTGTGACTACGCTCCACGCTGGGTGTGTCTGAGACAGGCCTGCCTCTCCAAGACACATAGTTTGAGTCACAGACCTATGTTGACTTAATTCAGTAGTCACAGATTGCAATCTAAATTTAAAGCAACTAGAAATTGTTTCCTCGTTGACACTAGTCACATTCCGAGGGTTCAGTAGCCAGCGTGGCTAGCAGCTGCCGTGGCGGTGCAGACTGGGCAGGCAGCCGTGGTTGCAGGTGGCCCGTGTCACGGTGCACAGTGCTGGCGTCCTGTGTCACGTCGCCACAGTTCCTGCTCTCAGAGCTCGAACAGCCCCGCCCCCAGGGCCTGCACCGCTCTGCGGCACTGGGACTTGGTCTCTGTCGTGTTAGATCTGAGGTGTGTGCTCCATGCTTCCATGACAGGCTTGAGGGCCTGTGACAAGTCGTGACACAAACCTGGTGAGGGTCTTCAATGCCACCTGCTGTCCACAGCCAGCCTCACAGAGGTCAGCGTGGAGAATGGAGTAGGAGAGGAGAAAGGTTGTGGAAGGGAAGAGACGTGGAGAAGTAGGGAAATGAGGGGTGGAGGCTGGAGGAGCGGGAGCACGGGGTCAGGGTCGCCGCCTCCAGTTCGCAGCCGACCCCTCGCGCTGGTCGCAGAGTGGTTGGAGAGTCCGAACCTCCACAGCCGCCCTGCCTGGCTTCTCATCCTCAGGCTCACACCGGATTATTCCAGCCTGCCCGGCTCACTCCTGGCCCCTGTGTCCTGTTGTTAGAGACAGTGTGGGTGTTGACCTTGCTTCTTCAGTGGCCCTTTGCCCGCTTGAGCCTCGCTTCTCCTCCTCCCTCCCAGGGCACCAACGACTGTGCCCTGCGTGGGTGACCGGGAATGAGTACTAACTGAAGTCTCGCGCTTTGCCCCCCACAGCTTACGACACTGAGAGGAGCGATTTTAGAAGACGCCATCCCTTCCACCGCCAGGCACGGCACCGCCCGAGGCCTGCCTCTCAAGGAGGTGCTGGAGTATGTCATCCCCGAGCTGAGCATCCCGTGCCTGCGGCAGGCGTCCAGTTCGCCCAAGGTCTCGGAGCAGCTGCTCAAGCTGGACGAGCAAGGGGTGTGTACCGTGCATAGGCCGTGCTTTGCGTGTGAGTTCGTGTCTAGGCGTGCACAAGTTTTAGAGTTTTCTCACACATCCGTCTTGAATTTGTATCTCCCATGAGAGAGTGAGAAAGAGAGAGAGAGAGACAGGCACCCTCCACAGGGCCTCCCAGGCCTCAGTCCTCCCCCAGCCTACGCACAGCCAGCCAGGGTCAGGGCCGTGTGTGGCCGCCAGGTGACGAGCGCTGACGTCTTCCTGCGTCGTGCAACGCCGCCCTGCCACCTGTGCTGCTGTGGTTGGGCTCCATCTTTATTTTAAGACCATTTATTAAATGCCTGGAAACATTTTCTCTTGTTTTTCCTAAATACGCCTTGACGTGAGTTTGGAAACCTGAGGCCCTTACGGTGCGACACCCGTCCTGCTGAGCTGTGACCTGCACTCTTTGCTCCAAGGCTTTGGCCTGTCTCAGCTGGCAAGAGCTCATTTGATGGTGTGGTAGTGGAGGCTGGGGGCATTTTTCCCCAGTGTGTGAAAATCTCACATTGGCCCTTTATTCTTGTCCACCGTGCAGGGGCAGGGCACACGCTGGCAGGCAGCTGTGAACGGATGCGTTAGGAAGTTGGGAGCTGACTGGGACCTAGTCCCTAGCCCCTGGGGACAAAGACTTGTGCGAGGCCCAGCGTGACTCGAGATCTGGGGGAGGTGTAAATGCATAGAGTGCTTTGGAAAGCGGGAGTAACGTGGCTGGGCAACCCCGAGGGAGGTGATGTTTTAACCGGACCTTTACACTTGGGTAGAATTTCAAGAGGGTGGTAGTAGCTGCCTGTTTAGGAACTTCAGCTAATCCAGTTTCTTTACAAAGAAAACAGACGGTGGGGAAGGCTGAGGGCGAGGAGAAGGACGGGGATCTGGAACATGTGAGGCCTTGCATGCCAGCCAAGGGCTCGTGCTTGAGTGGAAGGTGGTAGGAGCTGTTGGAGGGTTTCCACGAGACGTGATCAGAGCTGTGTTCTCAGATTATCCCGGCAGAGATGCATTGACCAGGCTCACGAGACTGGGACAGGGTGACACTGAGCACAGTTATACGATTATTCACATCATCCAGGGGGGTATGGATGTAGACAGGGCCAGGGTGACACTGAGCAGTTACACGATCATCCATGTCGTCCAGGGGGGTACGGATGTAGACAGGGCCAGGGTGACACTGAGCAGTTACATGATCATCCACGTCGTCCAGGGGGGTACGGATGTAGTCAGGACCAGAGTTGGCCCAGAGTTGGAGTGAAGTCTTTAACATTTCACATAAAAATAACTTCTAGGGAAAGCTGAGAGGTAGGTACCCAAGTGCATGCAAATTTTTTTTAAATGATTGCATTTATTTTTAAATCCATGATTTTAAAAAAGAAAGAGACATGGAGAGGTACATGTCCAGAATTCTAGAAGGAGAATTTTTTTGCATGTTTTAGAGGAAATAGCAGTTGGTTCTTCTCTGACCCAGTAGTGCTGCAGGGAGGTGGAATATTTAATACCCCGGTGGCTGGAATTCTAAAAGCGATGACACAGCAATTGGTCTAAAAGGCGGCACTGAGTTATTAGCGAAAGGAGTGCGGACTGTAACCTTCGGAATAAGTGATGCCGAGCGAGTCCAACTCAAGCACAAAGGTGGAGGCTGAAATACAGCACCAGACTGCAGCGCTGACCTTGGGCAGGCGACTTCTGAAAGGCCCGCCGTGGCCACTGCTGCCGGGAGCGGGTCAGCGGGAAACACTGGGGAAATGCGGAGCTGAGGGCAGCCTGTCCTGGAGAACGGGAAGGTGGTGCCGGGGCCTGAGAGGAGCAGCTCTCGTTTCCTTGTTGCAGGGAAGGGGTGACAAGAGCTGGCCACCTATGTGGTAGTCTGCTGTCCCTTTAAATTCCAGGGTATGTTAGTTCTCCCCTTACACTGCCCCAGCAGGGCACAGCAGGTGCCTGGGGGGCCAGGTGTTTGGTCCCAGGCTGCTGTGGAAATTTGCACACATGGTCCACTTGCCTCTTCAAGGCCTTCAAGTTGCAGTGGCCACCGTCCGGGGACTGTCTTGCAGGACAGTGCACAGAGATGCCAGGGCAGCCAGCTGACTGTCCTCACAGGGGAGGTGGGGACTGCGGCCACTCCAGTCCAGAAGGCAATTGGGCATCTCAGTAACAGTCTGATACCTGGGAATCAATTCTGGAAATTAGGTTCTGATTTTGAGCAAACCTGTGAATTTGGGCATCGTAGTCCGGCTGTGTGTCACACGCTCCTTCTTCAGGCTTGGCTGCCGTATGTGTCCCCGTCATGGTGACGCATGGTCACTGCTGTGTCTCAGTAGGGTGAAGGTCCCTGTTCATGTCGCTCGGCCCGTCGTCTGAGGTTAGCGAGATTTTGAGAGGAAAGACTGAATGTTGGGGAGAAAGGTCAGGAAAGAATAATGATTACTAGGCAGGGCCTCGTGTTTTTGTTTTGTTTTTAACTTTATGCAATTTCACCGCTCCACTTCTAAAATCCCATTTTTCCTTTTTAGAAGGGCTGTCCTAACTTCCCTAACAGGAAAACTCCTGAGAGCACATAGGCCGCATTTTGAAGACGGCATGACCTAGATGATCTGCGTGGCCGCCCGCGTGGGCATCGTGCTGTGTCCTCCTCGTCTGCTTACGCGGTCGGGCTCGCTGGTCTGTCAGGGTTGCCTCCACGGACTCACGGAGGGCGAAATAAATGAGCCCGCACACTCAGAACACGTGGACTGAGTGTGTGCGACATCCCACATACGTGATGCCCACGAGTGCAACCTCCTGTGTGCCTGACACCCCATGTGTGTGCGTCCCACATGTGCAAGATCCTGCGTCTGCAACGCCCTATGTATGCGACATCCCGTGTACAACACCCTGTGTGTGTGACACCCGTGTATGCGACATCCATCCCATGTGCAACCTCCCATGTGCGTGACACCTCATGTGTGACGTCCCACCTGTGCAACACCCCGTGTGTGTGACACCCCATGTGCAACATCCCCTGTGTGCAGCATCCCGTGTGCATGATGACCCAGGTGTTCGACCTCCCATGTGTGTGACACCCCATGTGTGTGACGTCCCACGTGTGTGGCCTTCGTGCGTAGAGCTGTCCCGTGCCATGTGGTAGCAGTGTGTCCTCACCAGAGCCAGAGGCCGGCAGCCATCAGAAGACCCCGGGGCTCCACCTCCGTTCCAGCCATCACCCGGCCGCCCCCTCCCGGCTTCCCATGACTTAGGGCTTCTTGGGTGGAAAAGCAAGCTCTGTGCACAGTCAGGGTCTAGACAGGCTGGGAGGAGAGGGGGCGGAGACAGCACGCCCTCAGCAGGGAGGCTCACGAGATGTCAGTTCTCTGGGTATTTGTCCTTTCCTGAGCAAGAGTCCCAGGGAATAAGTCCCCCGGACTCGGGAGTCAGTGAGGAGGTGGGCCAGTCCCGTGAACTCAGCAGCTCTGCTTCAGAACCTGTCAGAGAGGATGGGCATCCCCCTGGGAGCCAGAACCGAGCTGCCATGTGGCCAGGGTGCAGGCAGCAGAGTTACTCGGTGCCAGCAGAGGTCTGAGGTGAGCTGCAGATGAGGGATGGCAGGTGGGCATGGAGACACAGCTGCCAGGATGGCGTGAGCTCCGAGGGGCCGGCACGTGGCAGCTCCACCTCTACAGCGTTAATGGGGGACTATCACTGCCCGAGGGCCCGATAACGCAGGCGTGAAGTGCCATCCTCACCACACACAAGGAGCCAGGCCAGTGGGACAGCGCAGCTGTGGAGTTGGCGTCCCGAGGCCAGGCGTGGCAGTACTGCAGAGCCAGGTCCCCGGCCTCACTGCCGTCCGCGTGGTAATCGCTCATCGTCAGGGTCCCCGATGCACTCAGGGCCCCGAAGTGTCCTCCGAGCCTTTCAGGAATGGTCAGTGCTCCGGTGGGTGACACCAGGCGTTGCTACTAGACGTCATGTCCCGAAGGTGACGGTGTGCTGCAGCAGGTGTGACACCGTGTCCACGTGATGGCCGACCTGACCAGGAAACTGTCCCCCCATCTCTGGGTGAACGGATGTTTTTCTTACCCTCTGAGTACTAGTTCAGTAACGTGTGTACTCGGTGTTAGGAGCTCCTGCACACCAGCCCCTAGCCACCCTCACGGCAGGGCCATGGTTCTCACACGTGTTGTAGTTTCCATGACACCACGGCGTTCACCCACAGGGGAGCCCACTTGGTTAGATCGTGAGCAGGGGCTCCCCAGCAGCGCCGAGTCGGGCTCACACTGCTCGGAGTGTGCCCTGCCCATGAGCCGGGTGTTCATCTGGTACGGGGCAAGCACGTCTGCTGCCAGGCCCCAGCCAGGTGTCTCCGCCTTTCTCGCGTCGGGGTTGTCATTAGGTAATAATACGATGAGGCCGCGTCCATCATCCTGTGCTCCAGGGAAATGAGTATCGTTTTGCCTTATTTTACTGCGATAGTCAGCTATGAATTCTGATGAAAGGCTCTATTTTACAGCTCTATAATAAAACTCCACAGTGTTACGGATTGCTCCTTCGGGGAATTGGCGCTGTCTGCTAACCTGTCAGCCTGGTGGGTGCAGACGGCTGGTGGTACGATGAAGGGCTGTGGCTGCATGAGTGGGAATTAGACCTTCTTTGGAGGACGTGGGAAAGCTCAGAAGCGGATCCGGTTTCTCCGTGGCCTTGGGCGGGCAGCCTCAGCCTCAGCCTGACCTGGAGTTGACTGTGAGAGAGGGCTACAGCAGGAACTCTTCAATTGCTACTAAAATTCTTCATGGTGTTTCGTGTATTTGGCAGATATTTTCTCTTTAAGATAGTCGGAGATGTAAGCAATGACTGTAATTACATAACCAACCTTGGTTTACGGGGACACATTTCCTCATTTGTATGTATCACAGTTTCCATTGGGACTCTCTCCTTACCAGACCTTAATTAGATTTATTTTTTCCATGTAGTCTTACTTAGTTCCATGAATGTCCAAATAAATCGTTTTTAAAGTATTGAGAACCTGGGAGGGGAACGTTTTAAAGTCCATGGGCCCTATTTTGGTTTCTGACTTGGAAGATGCTACCACTACCACATAGGATAAAAGACAAAGCATTCCCGCCGCTGTGTTTATATAGGTAGATGGCAGGTGGGTTGGTAGGTAGGTAGGTAGATGATGATTTTTGCTATAGGGCGGCAGACAGAGATAAACAGAAAGTGAGAGATCACCCCCCAAGGGGGGTGGCCATGCAGCAATCCCTTCTCTACTCTCCTCCTGGGATTCTGGGCATGCAAGCACATGTGCCTGGTGTGAGTTTCAAGCTGCCAGGTGTGGAACTCGAACTGCAGAAGGCCATGTTGGAGTCCAGCGACTTAACCACTACGCCACCTACTGGCCCCAGCTTCTGTATTCTTTAGTAGATACTGAACCTGACATGGCCAAGGCCACACGCCCATTCCTCGTCCCGGCGTTTCCCAGCTGCACGTGGGCGCGCTGTGGTCCTCCGCGTCTCGGGTGTCTTGCCCGTGGTGGGCACTCATTTGCGTGTGGGAGTGCTGGCCTGAGCGCCAAGTTCTCAGCTCCTGTCGTTCTGATTCACTGAAAGTGCGTTTGCTACTTTCTCCAAGTGATTGCATTTTTCTCCATTCCAGCTGAGCTTTCAGCACAAGATCGGGATCCTTTACTGCAAGGCCGGCCAGAGCACAGAGGAGGAGATGTACAACAACGAGACGGCAGGACCAGCTTTTGAAGAATTCCTTGATCTTCTGGGCCAGAGAGTACGGCTGAAAGGATTCAGTAAATACCGAGCTCAACTGGACAATAAAAGTGAGCTTTGGATTCGCGGGTGTGTGTGCGCAAGTTTAACTCTCCGGAGGTAGGCAGGCACAAACCCAAGCCAACCATCACATGTTCTCCCGTTCATGACCCCAGAAGCAGCTGGCAAGCTTATTTGGGCAGAGTTTAGATTTCCTCAAATGGCAGAGGAAGCACATTTCCTGAGAGGTATGTGCTTCGTATCTTGAGCTCGAAGGTCAATCCTTTGTCCTTTTAACACCAGCAGAGTGCCGAGTGTCCCGTGAAGATCGGTTAGTATTTTCTTCCTTCCATGCTGCAATCCCCTCTCCTCTCTTCTCCTCTTGGAATCTTGGGCATGCACGCACACGTGCCCAGCATGAGTTTAAGCCACTGGGTCCAGGACTCCAACCGTAGTCGACTACGTGGGAGTCCAGTGACATAGCTGTTACACTAACTGCTGGTCCCTAAGTTAACTGTTCTGAGCAACGCAGTCTGAAAGGCAAAGAAATTCAGCCTTTTTTTAGCATTTAGAAGAGATAGCTCTCCCAGAGAGTTAGATGTCCTGGAATGGTTATGTCTTTCAGAAAACAGACACATGCAACTTTTCCTTCTAAAATTCTGGGAAGTCGGATTCGAGTCCAGTGTGGACCTCAGGTTATGCAGAAAGTTCCGGGTGTGGGGCTGGAATATCCGGGACGTTTCTTTTAGCTCTGCGAAAGATTGCTCTCTTTTCAGTGCAAAATGAATGTAGTCGAAACAGGAGTTTTGAGCTGCTATGAACAGTGCTCTCCTGACCAGGGTGGGGCACAGCTCCACCTCTGACAGGATTCGTTGGCCTCAGAGCAGAGCAGATACGCTGAGCGTCTTTCTCTGAACAGCAGTGTTGTGGCAGACCCCTGACAAGCCTTTTCGGTTTGCCTCCACTGCTGTGCTGTTGTTGGCAATGAGGATTCTCATAATATCTGACTTTCGAGAGGCTTTTCATGGTGCCGCTGGGGACAGGCGGATGGTGATCGCAGTTAAAAGTGTCCCCCCGTGCACTTTGCCTTCTTTCATTGCCGTTTCTCGAATCTGACACCTAGTATCTGTCGGCATTTCTCTTCCTGATTTGCAGCTTCGCTGGTGC